AAGGAGATGAACTCATTTGTCCTTAGAGGGCTGGTTAGCCACACCAGTCCCCAAAACACTCATCTGAGACAAGAATTATCTCCACTAGGCAGTGCTGATGCTCTTCCTTCCCCTTTCCATCATTAATTAAAGAGGGAAAGCTCCCTACAGCAACCACTTTCCCTTGGACATTTCCTTCAGGTACCAGTTACATTCGTTAACTCTTCCGGAAAGCAAAAGCAACTCTGCAGTCCTCCACAAAATTCCTGAACGAGACAGTAGACAGCCACGCTAATTAAGCTGGTCTGGTTTAACGCTGTTAAGGGACTGACTCCTGTGTTTAGCTGCATGCCATAGACAAGAACGGACAGTTTGGCATGAGCTAAATGGGATAAAGGAAAGGGGGTTGAAAACAGATTTCCAGCTGCCGTGAATTCTCAGTAACTGAGAACTTAACCCAAAAGCCTTAATCAGAGGGCAAACTTAACTGTATTTTCTAAGCAGATACCAAGCACAACAATACATCAAATTAGCAAAGACCCAGAGTACCTTCTTACCTATGCAGAAGTCCATGCCACAGCCTAGAAACGTAGTAAGTAAAAAACAAAAGCAAGGTATAGTTGGAGATGCTATTGGGAACTTTGGACAAATCCAGTTTCATATCAGCAGGCAGAGGGAGCAGGAAGAATGAAACACTGGGAAATCCATCTGTAATTACTAGGTCTCTCCCTACTCCAACTGGCAACTCAAAGGACTTCTTTCTTCTTTCTAAAAGAACAAGTCTGAAACACACGTGATGGACAAGCATCTTTTTTCCTCCAAAAAACTGATGTTGCCACCAGTGCATGAAGTATCCCGTCCTCTGTAGAACAGCACTAGTAAATTCTGTATCAGAGTTGCATTTGTTTTCATGCCCATTTCCCCCCCGCCGCCAGAGTCTTTCTGTACGTTCCTATAGCACACCTCATGCGCGCACACACACACACACACCTGGCCCTCACATAAAAATAGCCACTGAAGAACAATTCAAGGAATCAACAGCACTCCCACCAATCCTAAGTTCTGATAATGCATTTTCCTGCTTCTCCACGCTGCCTTGCTTTGTTGGAGAGCCACTCTGTGCTCTCTCCGTACCAGAGCAAAGGGAAGCACACAGGCATTCTCAATGTCACTCTAGACTTACTTGGGCTTCTGGCTTCCCAAATGCTCTGTAGACACATACGGGACTGGCTTTGGCATGCCAGGCTTCCCTCCTGTGCCGCTGTGGAAGAACTGGGCCCTAAGTTTTCTAATGGTATAAAAGAGTGTAATTCAGTTACTTTTCTCTTGTGGAAGGAAAAAGGTAAACAAATTGATCAGGCCCATTATCTGAGCAATATTAAAAAAAAAAAAAAAAAAGCAGCTGATGAAACCTACAGGAGAGCTTATTTGTGTCTGCCCATACAATCTCATCACCTGTACCAGGGCCAGAAACCTGAGATCACTGCTTTGCTAGGTCTACATAGATCATCATATATTGAGGAGCCTTGATGAATAAGACAGCTGAAGCCCACCTTTCAAAAGTTCTTCCCACAGACTTGTCCATTTAGCCAAAAAAAAAGATGTAGGAAACCAAGTGATCATCATTTATTTATTTGAATAAATAGTACAACTGCCACAAACCATGCACAACACTCCTGCTGTGATTTTTAGCAAACATAGCATTGCATTGTAACTTGCTTACAGTACACAACTCCTGTCACAAAGCTGGATGTCTCCAGCATATGACAAGTCCAGAATTTTATCTGCAAGGCTAGTTTTTAGTAGTTAGAAATCCAGAGTAAACACTGTGAAAAACAGTAGAAAAGAGTCTTAAAAAAATACATTAATACTGAAAGCAATGGGGTGTGGGGAAGAGAGGTAAGAAGCCCTATAAGGTTTAAAATGATTAAAAAAATCTGCCACTGTTGGTTTTTCATCTTGAGAAACAGGATGCAGCTGAGGAGTATCTGGGTTTCTTCTGTGGTAATATAGCTCACTGGAACTGAGTATGTCAAGCAGATGCACCTAAAAGGCAAGTTGTATGAACTGGAAAAGAGACACGTTCATTAAGTACTTACAAATGGTGGAAGCTTTAATGCTGCAGAGCATTCAGCATTCCAGATGAGCTCAACAGGATTCAGATCTACCCCACTGGCACCCAGGGAACATATCTAAAACTCCAGTAACACAAAGAGTTCATGAATAACATTTTTAACATTGATTTATCTTTTTGAGAGGAAAAGAAGTAAGTATCATGCATATGTAAGAGAAAGACATGACAAAAACAGGTGTTTAAAGAAGCTTTACCTAAATTGCTCTTCCTGTAAACTGGACTGCTTGAAGCTCCAGTTCAGTTAAACCCAGCGTGCTCCCAACCTGGTTAACAACAAACACAGGGTCTACAGGAAGTGTGACCTGGCTAGTCAGCAAGGAGCTAAGGGATTAAAAAAAAAAAAAAAAAAAAAAAAAAAATTTTTTCCCTATAAAAAATTTACAAACAAAATAAAAAAAC